GATGGTCAGCGGCCGCTTGATGGGTTGGTCTGTATACACGACGACTGCATGTGCCAAAAAGTAGGGCTTCAATTTTTTAACAGCCATGAAGAGTGCAAGACCAAATTTCTCCACTAGGGGATACCTCAACTCGGCATTTTTCAGTACGTGACTGACAAAGTAGACCGGGAGCTGACAGCCGTCCCTTTCAGCAAGGAGAACAGCGCTTAACGCATGATCAGAGACGGCCAGGTACATGTAGAGATCCTCTTTGGGCAAAGGGCTGACCAGCCTCGGCAAGGAATGCAAGTGAACTTTTAATTTCTGGAAGGCGACCTCAGCATCCGGCCCCCATTCAAACCTTGCCTTTTTCTTAATTGCCTGGAAAAAGTATAGGCATTTGTCGCCTGATCGGCTTAGAAATCTTCCCAAGGCCGCCAGACAACCTGTTAACTTCTGAACCTCTCGGATGGTACGAGGCGACTGCATGTCGATGACCGCCTGCACCTTCTCAGGGTTCGCTTCTATTCCTCTCTGATTGATAACTCAACTCCAAATACACATTTCTTGGGATTGAGCATGACATGGTGCCGCCTGAGTGTGGCGAAAGTTTCTCGGAGGTCCGTCAGATGATCTTTCTGAAGTTTAGTCTTGACAATCATATCATCAATATATGCCTCGACGTTTCTCCCAATCTGATCAAAGAACACAGTGTTTATCATTCGTTGGAAGGTAGCCGGGGCATTCTTAAGACCAAACGGCATGACCGTGTAACAGTATAACCCCTGATCAGTGACGAAGGCCGTCTTCTCCTGATCTTTCTTCCATAAGGGAATTTGATGGAAACCAGAATGGGCGTCCATAAAACTCATCAAGGCATGACCGGCTGTTGAGTCGACCAGGTTATCAATTTTAGGCAGAGGGTAACTGTCTTTAGGGCACGCCTTGTTTAAGTCTGTGTAGTCTACACACATTCGCCAGGTGCCATTCGGCTTTTTAACAAGTATAACATTTGCAACCCAGTCTGGGAAGTAACATTGCCGAATGAACCCTGCATCAAGTAATTTTTTAACTTCGGCGGCTGCCGCCTGACTTCTTTCTTCGCCATGGTTCCGCTTCTTTTGCCGTACCGGCTTCTTTTTCGGATCCACAGCGAGTTTATGTACCGCCAGATCAGGACTAATTCCTGGCATTTCATGGACTTCAAATGCAAAGATGTCCTTGTATTCTTTCAATAAGTTGTGAAAGTCGTCACCAAGGTTTCTCAGAGCAGTCGTCCCAACTTTGACTGTTCGGTCAGGACGTGAGTCGTCTAATATCAGGTCCGCATGCTCACCAGACGGCTGAGGGCGGAACGCATCCGGCCGCTCCTCTGCCAATGATTGCTATTTTCTTGCTTTTCTTGCGGACTCTGTCTGGGACGCCTTTCTCTTTTTGTCGCCTGTTTCTTGAACAGGCGCACTCTCCTTGACATTGTCAAGGTCTGTTTTTTCTCCACTTGACCCAGTGGCCATAATAGTGGGCTTGACATCCGAGAGATAGCACTCTCGGGCCATCCTCTGATCTCCCCTTAGGGAGCCGACTGTTCCATTATCCCTCTCAAACTTGAGCAACATAAGAGACGGGATTATAACAGCCTTGGATTTATTCAGGGTTGGTCGACCCAGAATCATGTTGTAGGCCGAGAGTTCCTCTACTACTAGGAACCGGACTACCATGTGTCGTCCTTCCCCTTTTTCGCCAAGGCGAATGGGCAAATCTACTCGTCCCAGTGGGTGAACGACTCCTCCTCCAAACCCTATTAAAGGGTGGGAGGCCGGATGTATGCAGTCCGTCTGATATTTCAGTTTTGACAGACATTTGCTGCTGATGAGATCTGAGGAGCTCCCGGTATCTATGAGGATTCGGCCAACTCTCTGGTTGGCCACTTTACATTCAATAACGAGAGGGTCGTCATGTGGCCCCCTTACCCCTCCTAGATCCTCTTCTGTGATGACAATCTCAGGAAATGTATATTTGGACGGCCGTTCTTGGTGAACGGAATTTACATCTAACCGCCTTATATTATCATAGTTTCCCCTAATAGTGGGGCCGCCTCCTGAGAAGCCGCCTGCAATGGTGTAGACGACTGCATCATCTGTATCGGAGCTGTCGACCTGTTGATTCTTTTTGGCCGACTGCTTTTTTTGAGGAAGTGTTCCCCGTAGATTTCTTGACATAAGTGTCAAGATCACCTTGCTCAGCCAGGCGGTCTAGGTACCGCATGAGACTGATGCAATCATTGGTGTGATGACCAACGTCATCATGATAAGCACAGATTTTATCTTGGTTCCGGTTGTTTGCAGAACCCTTCATGGGGACCGGCTTCTCAATTGAGATCCGTCCCTTTATTTCTTTTAGGATAAACTGGTTATCCTTGTTAAACACATACTTTGGGGAGTATGGTTTGAATTCTTTTTTCTTTTTCTGGGCCGGCTGTTTAGAGGAATCAGCCGCCCAGACCTCTTTTCTTTTCTCATCTTTGTTAGACGACTGTTTCTGTCGTCCTTCTCTTTTGTCGAACCTTTTCCCGTCCGACTGTTTTATCGTACACAGATCAGTCGCTTGTATATAGGCTTCTGCTTCAATCAAGGCCTCTTGAAGAGTCGCCACCCTTTTTCGAACCAAATCAAATTTGAAGGTAGACCCGTCTTTGAGACCTCTAAAAAAGTCAGTATAAGCTACCTCATCCGGTAACCCTTGAATCTGTATTCGCATCAGGTTGAACCGCCTGATGTAAGAACGAAGCCCCTCCTTCTCGCCCTGCTGAATTGTTCCCAAATCAAGGGTCGTTTTCTTCGCAGGGATGTTCATGGCGAAGTTGGAGGCAAATAAGTAAGCAATCGTCCTGAAGCTGTTTACACAACCAGTTGGCAGGTTGCCGAACCATTGCTGTGCGATTCCCTTGAGAGTCGCTGGGAAACACTTGCACCAAGTGGGATCATCCAACCCTTGAAGGTACATCAGGTTGGTGAATGCCATCAGATGGTCTTCTGGGTTAGTAGTGCCGTCATAGGCGCCTATTAGTACATTTTTTACTTTGGCCGGCTGAGCGGCTTCAGTAATTTCCTTGGAGAAGGCCGACGGCTGTTCACCAAGTCTAAGCAACCGTAGCTGCCAGTCCATAGGTTGGACGTTTTTTGCTGCAGGTCCACCAAATGGAGGTGGCTGCATAAAATACTGTTGTTGCGGCACAAACGGTAAGTTTGGTACCGCCTGGGCACTATGAAAGCCGGACTGACGGGAGGTGCCGCCTGACTGACTCTCATGGTACGACTGAGTATGCCTCATCGAGGCATTTCGCAAACTGTCTTGAAAGTCTGAAGTAGAAGCCGACTCTGACAATCGGTCACTCTTCTTCTGCTCTAGCAGTAGCCGAGCATCTGTGAACGTTTGCTTTGACCCGTCCGCTTGAATATGACGAACCGGTTTCCTATTTCCTGTAGGATAACGGAATTTTGTGAAATCAAGGGCAGGTGGCTCACGCTTCCTAGATTTAGGATGAGGAGTCGCCTCTCGCCCTTGAACTGGCTTCCTTTTCTGTGAAGTGGAAGGTTTCTTGGCCGACTGCTCCTTGACTGAAGCAGACGGCTTCCTGTTGATCAACTCTTGAATCTCTCCCTTGAAATCCCTCATGAAGGTCATGAGTTCGTTCCTTGTGATGGGAGCAGACCCATCAGTCGGCTGTTGCCGAGCAGGCGGTGCGCCTGCTGGCTCGCTTCCTGTTTGAAGATGCTCCCGTTCCCTCCTTTCGGTATGACGGGTACGTCGGGCCCTTAGGGTCCCGTTTGGAGCTGTATGAGTTTCAACTTCAAATTCACTTTCGGTGTCATGGTCCGACTGAACTTGAGGGTCGTTTAGGGGACGCCTCTCTTCAGGAGTCGGTACAGACTTGGATGCCATCTCTGAAGTACTCTCCCCACAGACGGCGCCAAATGTTTCGGGGTTTTCTGATGTCCTGCGGGAGAGTTACAATTCCGAGACTGGAACCGGACGCCTGTACCTGCAAAATAACGGAGACTCCTGAGAGCTCCGCCTCCAACGGTCAAGTTAGTACCTGATTAAGGAGTAATTAATACGGAAATTAAAGTAATAAGATCTCTCTAGGTGAGAGTGTTTAATGTTGGTAATCTGCGTTGTTAGCGAGATTAGCCGGTTATTAGTGTTCCGTAATGTTTCTGTTCTGTTCCGTTCTTCAGGTGAGATTAGTTGCTTGATCAATTGCTCTCTCAATTGCTTGATCCCCTTTAATGAGGATTAATTAAGTATTTATAGTCTTGAGAAGCGTGCCACTCTCTAGGTTTAGGGTAAACCTAGGGCTGACCGGGCCTCTAGACAGGATTGGGCCTTGTTGGCCGGTTTTCCCATTTGGCATGGGTGGACACGTGGCGTGCCTCGATTGGTCCGTAGAGGACGTATCTGTGATCGATACGTGGCAGGCTCCTATTGGCCTACGTGAAGGACACGTGGCGGAACCTGGTTGGTCCACTTGTCAGACAGTGATTGGTGGATAAAAATCCCCTAATCAGTACCCAAGTTCAATTTATAACTAAAATAAGTTCAGATAAGTTCAGATAAGATTAGATAAGATCAGATAAGTTCATATAAGTAAAAATCAGATGAATAAAGCGCACCCTAACTATAATCATAATTAAAAAAAACATTCTCCCTATGGAGTATTCAATAAAAACAAAATAATTTTTCAATTATATTATTATCTAAAACATTAAGATTTATGCCAACTAAATAGGGTGAACAGGATATCGCTCGGCACTAACTTTGATGTATTTGTTATAGTATAGGTATAATATTCAATTTATATTATTGATATTTAAAAAAATAATCATTTTTTCCTGAATTATTGTAATACTAACTGAGGTTGACATTTATTTAAAAAAATTCTGTAAAGACCGTGCATAGCACGGTACTTAAGCCTGTAAAGTTAAATAAAATTGCACCAAAAGAAAGATATATATATATATAAATATAAATTAAATAAAGAAAAATAAATCATAAATAAAAAATATATTTAGACCTTAATTAGAGTTTTGACAATTTCATATGGATCAGGATCCTTGATTGCTACAATCAAAGAAGATTTCCCTTGTTTATCTTTCAACTAATATAAGTTAAAAAACTACTACACGTGTAACTCCATGTTTTAGGGTCGGGTAAATTTATCAATCGCCAAGCTCGACGCCTCTGCCTTAGCCTTGCCTTTCCGACGCCCGATCTCTCAACTCCGCCTTTCTCCTCCTTCACTTCGCCTCTCTCAATTTCGACCCTTGACCTCCTCCAATTCTTCTGGTATTCTGTCTTTTCTCTCTCTCGATTTCAATCTTTTTATCTAATATAAGTTAAAAAAACACAACCATGGAGACGGAGATGGAGAGCCATAAGAGGAGGAGGACGGTGGAGGGAGAAATAGAAGAAGAGAGGTTTTTATTTCTGGGTTCAGAGTTCAATCTATTTTGTATCGATTTGAAGAAAACGGAGGAGAAATACGGTGGGAAGTGCTCAGAATTATCGTATGACCCACCACTGGTGGAGGTGGCGTGGAGTACTAACATTCACGCCACCTCCAATGTCCTGCCTTTAGGTATGGCTTCAACCAGATTTAATTTCAAGACTGCCTCTTCTCCTTCTTCTAGGGTTTTGCTTCCATGTTCAACGACTTCTGATTCAAATTTACTTCTAATTGGTGGGGAATTACAGGATCCTTCGGCACCATATTGTTCTACGCATGCCTCGAGAGAGGTGTATAAGCTAATTCCAGAAGTTAGTGGTCCTAATGGTGATATTAAGGATATCAGAATTGAATTAGCTGATGCTACTATTCCGAGGATGAAATCCGGTAAAGCGTGTCCTATTGTTGAAGAGATTGGAGGTAATCTATACGTCCTTCACTCTCGCTTTGTACACAGAGGTTTTTATGCACAATCTGAAATTCCTTTTGAGGTTTTTGATTCAAAAATCGGTGAATGGAGAACCCTTCCAGTTCCTCCTTTCTTCGCTGCTGGTTTGGGTATTGTCATTTATGCACATGCTGTATTTGGTCATTGTTTTGCAATTGAAACATCTAAAGAATGTTTTTGTTTTGATACAATCAAAGAAGAATGGTATTGTTCAGACAACATGACCTCTCATTTAATCAATATTCTCCCTATGACTATACCCTTGGGTCTGCCCTGCTTCGGACTCGACGAGCATGGTAGACAACTGTATGTTGGCATTAGTCTTCTAATTGAGCCCTGTGCGTACCTAGCCACCCCCGATGGAACCATTTATGCAAGGCAATCTTTGTATCATGTTATTTTTAAAGACATTCTTCCTTATCCTTATCCACCCATGCTTAGGAATGTGCTTATTCCTTTGAAGTCGGTACAAGAAAATGTCATTAGAATGTGTGCTTGTTCCATTGTCTCACACAATGCTTGTTCCAGTGTCTCACACAATGACTTTCCAGTTTGTTATGTACTACTTGTATCGTTTTTCTCTGCTAAGATATCCCCGTCTTCTCAACAACTTATCTATAAGATGATTTCTGGAGAATTGACTGATATCCATGATCATCCTGCATACTCCACCTTCTTGGATGTCTTTGTGGAAAGAAAGTTTTTCCTTAGAGTTCCCCACCTTGGCCACTTTTTCAATGGGCCTGCTTTGCTACTTTGAGGTATCTTTGTTTTATTATTAATTATTTTAAATATTACTACTATCTTTACCTTTCATATATTGATACCTAAGTTTTGATATTGATAAATGCTTTATTGTTGTTTCATCTTACACTTGTTTGTGCATTATTAGTAATTTTGTTGGACATTGTCTCTTTTACAAGTTTGAATCTCTATAGATTGTTGGTGTTTTTGTTACAACTTGTATCTTGCATTTAAGAGTTTTCAACCATATCTTCTTAATTAAAATGTATGTGACCTTCCAAGTTCTTCCTTGAACTGACATATAGAAGAGCTTTATACATTCTGAAATCATTCATTGCTTAAAACAGAGCTATATAGTTTGTATGTCATTCTTGTATAAATCACGGTTTCCTAATGACCTTTCACTTGAAGCTTAGATGTTTTGTTGATCGAGATCACTGGTGGTGAATTCTGATTCGTCCGATAAATCAATATCGATTTGTTACCTGGTGGTTTTTGTACAGTATGTTATTTTGAATCGAAAAAGAAATAGCCACTACATGTATCATTCTAAATTCTAATGCATGTTGTAGTTAAATTAGTGCAGAAACTTTGCTGGTTGCTACTTGATTGATAATGTTGAATTGTGTGTACCTGTATATAGCTTGAAGAATCAATGAAATCAGAATCAGATAACTTGCTAATCCCCGGTTGTTCTGATAGTTTATAGCTACCGGTTTTAATTAATGGATCTTTTGTTGTGTGTGTAATTGGATTTTGGTAACCAGCTGCTAATAAAAGGCTTCTTCTTAAATTGTTCAATAATAGTCACAACCAACATAATAATGGTTAGAACTTGGATTAAGGGTTCTACTACCAGATTTCAATCGGCAAAGTGAGCTTTCAAATAGGATTTGTATTAAAGGTTCTACTAAGAGAGCTTGTTGGTTTCATTGGCTCCTAGTTTTATGTGATGCTAGATTGTTAGGAGGGATGGTGTTAGCTCTTCTCAGGTGTCCCAACCATTTGTATGCACAAGTCTCACTTGTTTGAAATTGGTTTTGAGAGTGTTATCATGGATTTTTTTAAAATTGATTATACTATGTATATCCTTTAAAAATGTACCTTCCCAACCATTCACACGCACAAGTCTCGCTTGTTTGAGAGTAGTTTTGACAGTGTTATCATGTACTATGTTTTTTGCTTGAAAATTTGCTGCATCTGGAATTATGAGGTTTTAAGGGAATCTTTTAAAAGATACACTCGTTAACAATGTTTTTAAAAATTTGGCAATTCCCTCCTATGCTTAACTTTCTGTTCTTTTTCGTTTTCTTCAATTCTGGCAGATTCTTGCAGCTTGGGTTTAGGATGGTTGTTTTATTTTGCACCTTGGCGTGGCTGGCTGATTGTTCTGCTTGAAGTTCCTACTCTTTTCCTCTGCAGCGTTTTCTGGTTACTAATTATTACGGACTGTAATGGAGACTGGAGAGTACTCCCCTCTTTATATTATCATCTTTTCTAATCTATCGACTTCCAGTAACTCTTTTGTAATAGCTTTTAACTAGCTAACTTATCCTGATCTAGCTTTTGTGCACTGATGCAGTTCTGAAATTCTAACTTATTCTATTAGTATGATGTTTTGAAGGATTAGGTACTTTTTTGGCATTTTAAAAGTGAATTCATGTTTCTAAAGCTGGTTGCTGAATGCTGAATTTAGTTTCTTAATCTATATAATCTGTTTATTCATACAATCAAATTATTTACAGTAATTATACAATATATTTCGTTTGCAAGGAAATTTTACCCAGCTGTATTCTTATGTGAGTTTGCAACTGTTTGGCTAGTAACTGTCCTGTACTTGAAGTATTAGATTATAAAAGAAATATACGAAGTATTGCTCAGGGTTACTGTATGTGCTAGGGGGATTTTCTACGTTTGCTTACTAGGATTCTTATTGTTTTGTTATTACAATTGAAGATTTGGCCTCTACTCCAAGCTGACTTATTAATTTGAATCGTCGTTACTTATCTTTTATTTTATTTATTTATTATTATTTTTTTTTTTTTGTTTTTTTTCTCTTCAGTTTCTTATTTTTTAAAATCAAAACCAGAAAAAGTGGTTTGTACTTTGTTGTTGTAAGTAAACTAGATACTATGTAGTTATGATTTCATTATTAATCATATCTCTTTTAAAAACAAAATAACAAAAGCCGGAAAAGGTGTTTTTGATACCAAACGACCCTTAGCAAATAAGTTTGGATCAAGTTTCTTCACAAGTTGTTTAAAAGCGTTTAAGATTAATGACAACCAATAAAGTATTGACTTACTTGATAAGGTTCTTACCTCATATTCTAAAGGTTTGAGATTTAAATTCTACCAAATGAGAGTACTTGGAGGTATGGATTTCCTTACCCTCCCCTCTACTCCTAACTCTTAAGTGTTTGGCTCGCAAATATAAGACCAAAAAAATCACGAGGGTTGAGGTCTAATCAACTAATATAATATGGTATGATTCTAAAGATATTAAGCAACAAGATTTTTAACTAAGTGAAGAGAATATGCCAAAATCCTCCAAATTTCAAACTTCGTTGAATTACTTGATCTCAAGAATTTAATTGGTTAATAACAGTTACCTTGATTTTGTTATTACATGTAGCAAGGAAAACAAAAAAGAGTATGCTTATCAGTATATAAGCTGCTAATTAATCTGCTATAGCAGATACAAGTTATAAAATGAAGTTAAAAAAAATAAAATTAATAAAAGCTTCTCAATATGGAAGCTCATAATTAAAAGGCGGCTCCTCATATACTAATATGAATGCCTATATATAAATACATAAGTTGAAAAGATTAAGAAAAATTAAGATGAAAGAATATTCTAAGTAGGACTACGGACTACCTATTCACTCAAAAACGAAGCAAAAACAAACTGAAGAGAGAAATTAATAACATGTGAAATTTGGCTCAAGCTATCAACTGGTTGATCTGGCGAAGAAGAAGGGATGGGCGATTTTACCAGAGGGCCAGGACAGCTCCGCAAAAAATGATCTAATCACATAGCAAAAGAATGTACCAAACCTCCCAACATCTAGCCTGTCTTGAGCCTCTTCACTGCATGATCAAACTCGTTACTGGTGCTGTCAACTCTAGCATGTTGCAAAGATGGATTACCACTGGGAATTTCAACACCCTAAATAAAGAGAAATAGGTATTTTGCTTAGATTTAATCACAATATTAGAAACATTTGTGTTAAAAAATTTCTCTTACTCGCCCAGTACCTGAGTTATGCTTACCTTCCCAGCAGCCTCCTGGGAATCTTGTCTATTATGTGCTCGCTTTCCTATGTCAACTTGAACTGATATGCTTGCTTGAGACAAATCTACCCCAGAACTCGGCAAGCTCGTGTTAGCGTACTCAACAACCTGTTCGAAATTAATATCAATTCAAGTTAGTAGAAAGAAAAAAAAAAAAAAACAGGAGAATGAATATTTTATACATACAATCAATCCCTGAAAACATTTATTCTCTCAAAAAAGTTGCCAAAATAGGGATAAACTTAATCTGCTAATCAGCAAACTGGGTACCTTAAACATTATCATGACTTAAGAGAAAACTCAATTACTGTTCATTTATTTACAAGAAGCCATGCTTGCCCCCTCATAAACCTTCTACAGTTTCAAGAACAGAATCCTTAATTCTCACTTAGTGTACAAAAATGGTTATGCATAATCTTCAATCATCTTTGATACAAAGTGTCGTGAAATATTCCCTAATCTAATCACAGAACATCTACAAATAGAGTTTATGATTACTCACCCCTGAGAGTATACGCTTGAGATATTTATTGTGCCACCTTCACGAGCCAGCTCTTGATCTTTCAGTTTATCGGTGGCAAGAGATGGCTCAGATGCGAAATTTCTACCTTGCCATAACTGCAATTGAGGGAATGAAGCATTGCCTCCCTCAGTTGGAAGCCTCACAGGAGGTGGTGCAACAGCACAACTAGCTATTAATGATAGGAGCGTGGATATCATGCTGCAGTGGTGGAGAAATTGATCCTGCTTTATTAGTTTTTCCAGGCTGCTGATCAACTGTCTTGACATTGATAGCATTGATCATGCTACATTCTGCTTGGGTTTGGGGATTGCACGGGACATTCAATGAAACAGCAGGAGTAGCTTTCTCATCAACTTTGGCACCAAACATCAACACAGGACTAGCATTCACTGCTTGAGACTGATCAACAAAACTCTCAGTTGCCCCATGGCTATTTCTCTGCATCAAACATATGGAAAATGAACAATGAACAATGGTTTACTTAAAAAGTCTCTATAATACTTCAAAACACACAAATAAAAATAATAAAATGAGTACTAAGGCCTTGTTTGGTAAATGAATTTTTTACCAACTTTCTCGGTGCCTAATGATTAATGACTTTTTCATGTGGTCAAACAATCAAAAAATTTGTTAATCTTTTGGCCTTTCAGCCAAAATGCAAAAGTTAGTTTGAGTAACCTTTTGGGGATGGCTTTTGGCTTTTTATCCTAAAAGTTGGTCTAGTTGCTAAGTAACAGCTATACATTGATTATATCAATTATCACTATAAACAACTAATGCTACGTACCTTAACAGGCATTACTTCTAACTCTAGAAAATGTCAATGAATCAATCTGAATGAACCGTGTAAAGAAGCAAGAAAGAAGTCCTTTCAGAGTATACATATTGCTAGCATAACCTGTAAAAATCCTTTCAGAGCATAATCTGTATAAAAACACAGAAGAACTTACCAATGGATTCAACTTGGGTGGTTCACTATTCCATCCAGGGTATGCCCCTTCGTATCTATTTACCTTTTCTTGTAGATAATGAATGTATTCAATGACCTGCATAAATACAGATATCAGAGGGTATTCTAGACAGCACTATGTCAGATAAGAGAAGGTCTTTGTGCTCATACCTCTAACAGAAATGATGCCTTATCTCTCTTCTGGTCACTGTGAGGAATGAGTTCTCTCAACATGTGAAATCTGCAAAGGAAAAAAATAGGTATCAATAAGACAGTAACTCTTGGGACACCAAATTCTTAGAGCCTCTTATATCTTGATTGAATGAGATTTAATTATATCCCACGAAGTTAATTAGAAAAGGGTTGTATTATCAAGAGAACATAATTTCAAAGACAAATTTCATCTACAACTGCATTTCTGTTTCAATTAAAAAAGCGACAGAGAGAGATAAAGACATTCATGATGCCAAATACAAGCCAACTCCTATTACAATGAGCAGAATACTAACCATTTAGAGAAGAGCTGCTTTCCTTTTTTAGGCTCAAATCCTCTTCAACCTCTTCCTCCACTGAATGAGGACCCTTTGCTGATTTGATCATCTCCATAAAACTTTGACTCTTCTGAATAATTGCCCTATAAAATTTCCAATTTCCTATCAGTTGGACATAGTTGCTGGGTGAGGATGACAGAAATATAATAGGGTAAGTCACTGACTGAGAAGACGAGAGAGGACTGACACTGCTGCGATGGTTGGAAGAAGACTGTGAAGGCCGATCCAAAGGCCATTGCCCCATTTTTATTGTTGACTCTGTCCATCAAAATAATCAAGGGATTTCTCACAATCTAGTTAAGTTTATAAAAATGCAATAGTTGCAGAGACGAACTTCACAACTTCCCTATTATCAAAAATTGGAATGCAGCAAAAGTTTTTATCGAAAATCAAGTATCAAATTCCTGATAAACCTTGATCTAATTAGCCTTAGAACAAGAAGGTAAGTTATCTAAAGAAAGCCTACAGTTATAGGAAAGTAGACTATATATGTGGAGCACTACTGTAGTAGTACTCTGAGTCTCTGACCCAGAACAATCACTTCACCCAAAACTTATATCAATACTTCATCCCAAGAGAAAATCTGAGAGTTACAACACTTGCAAGTATTCAATTCTATGTATTTTATACGAGCCTATTTTTGTACCCCTTTCATATTAGCTGCTTCTCTGCATTTACATTGACTAAACCAACCTTGCCACCCATACCCTCCTGTCCAAACCAAAGTCCTATTGTACATATTAGTGTGTCCAAAATTCCATGATGAAAAAGCGCTTGTGCAAGCAAACTGTATTCAACTCAATTGCGACTGTACCAACATTAAATCCTCCCTCAGTTTCATATTTTTCCGTTTAAATGACATGGAGATTGGTATATGAAGAAATTAAAGTAGGAAGTGACTTCAAAATACAATTATATTGTGACACCCTAAAATACGAGTAAGACTATTTAGAGAGATAGTTCTCCAGCAAACTGTGATAGAGGGGACAATTTGGTAGTTACACTTACGTGAGATTTACTGCCCTTCCTCTCTCTAGTTCACTGGTGAGCTAAGTTTACTAGATAGCCTTTTATTTCCTAATATATACATAAGAGGTTTAATATGTGATGGAGTGGTACATTGATGTGAGCGTAACCTCCAATCCCCATATAAAGCTTTGAAAGCATCACTATGACAACAAGCATCATGCTTGCGGAGGTCTGTATAGTATATTACCTTTCTACTTCATATGGGTCCTCTAAGTTGTCTTGTATGCCAAACTAAAACATGAACACAATAATTATTATTGGACTAATGTCTAGATAGTAAATTACTTATATCGTATCAATCTGCTATGCAATGTTTAATCTTAGTTGGAAGAATGAAATAGACATTTACCTTTTACTATGT